AAAACTGATAATCGAATCATGGCGTTCAACCCAACGTGTCTCACATAAAGGCATGACATTTTGTCTCAAATTTTGACTTTCATTTTTAAACATTATTCTTTGCACTAATTTTCTTTTGGCCGATGCGCGAAAAAAGGAAGCCGTTTGCTTAATAGTGCCCATTGCATTTCTTATGGCTTGTACATCGGATGTTTTAGATAAACTCAAGTTCAGTCCATGGTTAGTACAAACACAATGAATACATAATGTAGCTTTTTTTGATATTTCTGCAGCTGCACCACATGACTGAGATGTCATGACAGAACATCCATCTGTTCCACAACCAACACAATGCTGTGGATCTAAAGTTAGCGCTTTTAGTAAACGTAACACTGAGCCGACTAACATTTTTCCGGTTAATTTTGGTTCCGATTCTATATCTTTGTATGCATCCTCTAGAGAATCCACAAATGCAACAAAATCTTCTCTAACCTGGCCGTTGTAAACATATTGTAAGCTCAAAGACAATTGCTCAATACCATATATGTCAGTTGTTTCATCAAATAAAACTGAATAAAATTTGGCTGCTTTAACTCTCTGTACAATAGTATCTGTAATAATATCGCCAATTGTGGTTATGATTTCATTTTGAATCGTTTTGCTTATGTATGTCGCATTTGATTTAGATGATTTTAAATGTTCTTCAAGAACATGGTCTCCAGCATCGACCCTAAACTGAAGTAGTTCTCTGAAATTACCCTCATTTCTAACTGGACCGGTACCATATACCCCTTCATTAAGCATGTCATTGTCCAAATTTTCATCATCATCATCATTATCAGCATCGCCTGCATCATTAGTACTTATATTAAGTTTTCCGTCATCTCGATGTCCTCGTAGAGGAATATTTTGCTTTCCCAAAAAATAATAGATTTAAGTATGGGCTTCAATCTTTCTCTGTTTTCCTTCATTTGCTGATATCTTGCGGAATAGAGTTGATTAACAACTTCAAATGATGGATTTTGGTATGATTTGACAAAATCATTGCCCCTCTGAACTGACTCTTTGTGATACCTGTATTGTTCATGACAGCTGAGATCACCATCTTTGCCTAATAATTTTGCAAATGATGTAAGTGGTTTTTTTACTAATTTTTGCAATGGCGTTTGATGACTAATACCGCCGCTGTCAGCCATTAGAGCACAATACCTGCAAAATAAACCTTGTTCCACATGCGAGTATGTCAACCATGCATTAAATGTTTCCAAGTGACTTTTCAAAATGTACCGTTTTTCATTTTTACCATTTTTAATATGATTTGAATACGGAAATTTGTAGCCAAATTCTGGTTTCCATGGATTTTGTAGAAGTTCAAATTTTATATCATCATTAATTGTTTTATTACTGCTGCCCACATACAGTCCAATATCATTATTATGTACAAAATCCATTTGTTGATAGACTTTTTCATTATTCTTTATCTTGTTATCTTCGTCATTATCGTGCAAAGCTACTTGCTCAAATGATTCATCATTTTTAACAATCACTTTTTCATTATGATTATCGGAACTATCGCCTTCATGTAGTTCTAAAAAAATAAACTAAATTTAACTTAACTCTGAACACTTATTTAACAATTTCTATGCTACTAGGAACAAATTCATATCGTAT